GACTGAAGAAGTCTCTTGGAGGAGAGACGAAACGTTTCATTAGAGAAGAACCCGTCCAGAAGACCTATACAATTTTTTTTCTTTTTGATTTTTTACCTGGATTACTGAGATGCATCAGGATGTCTTAAATTTAATTTCGCTTGGCATTAAAAAGTCTTAAAAGGTCTTAAATTTAACTTGGTTTAAACTGTAGGAACCCTGATAATTCTTCTGCCATGTGAACCCGGCGTTGTTCAAACAGATGGCTGGTCTAGGACCATCTTGGAGATGCTGGAAGTGGAGGTTCTGGGCGGGTGGAYTTACAGGTGGTTTGTGGTTGTGAGGCTGGTTGGAATCTCTGACACACCTTTCTTTTTGTAGAGAAGTGACCGTTCTTGTTTTGTAGCCAGCCMGGGGGGCGGTTTCTCACCAACAGATTTCAGAGTCAGAAGCGTTTTATTGTCATTCACACACAACATCAAGATGCAGTGCGAATGAAATGCAGTTTAGAACATCCGTCCGGAGAAATACACACATGACAAACATGGGGGAATGAATGTCCAGGGTCTTTCGCAACGTAGTGCGCTACCTTTGCAGTTTAGAATACACACACAATAGGAAGGGAGAGTTTAAAAAAGAGCATTGATCCTGTGTTTTGTGCAGAAAACACACAAATGTATGCTCAAAAAACTACTTTGCAAATAGTGCAGTCAGCTAAGGAGGGGAGGGGGGTGAGTCCAAACCAGTTGTTATCAGTCAAAGCACAAGTCACTAGAGTTCAGTTCTCTGTCTCAACCCAAGGCGGCCTTCAGACCGATCCAATGCACGGATGGAAAAGGGGTTGGGGTCGGGGTGGGGGGAGTCGAGGCTTTCTTCTCACATGTCATTCCAGGGAGGTTTCATCAGCTTGAGTCTGAGGTCACAGCTGCCGGGATCCAGTAATAAACATTATTGTTATTTAGGGCCAAGCAGCCTATTTTCACTGCTTTAAGTCCTAACTGCATCTCTGTGTTGCGACAAATGCCAATATTCCAGATTCGTTTACCACGTCGCCTCTCCCATTTGAAACATCACCCAGGTGGACTCACTCCTCACGGGCACGTTGCTGAGCTGTGATCCTCGTCAGAACCATGTCCAGTCTGTGACTTATATCCCCCAGCATCTGAGTCTGTGCCTTTGCAGTATGGGAAATTCCATCCAAGTTCCCTGACAGCTTTTCATAGGTCCGAACCGCTGTCAGGATCATTTTCATTTTCCGATAAATCAGGACTCCCCCACAGCCAATCAGCAGGAATCCGATTATCATAAATCCGAACATAAACACATCTTCGACGTCTTCAATGGAAAGCGGGGCCAGGCAGATCAGATTCCACCCCCAGGACCCAGACACTCTGCCTGCAGCCACGGTTCCACTGGGACAGCTGCACTCCCTTCGCTCCAATCTCAGTGGGGAAAAAGTTGTGTTGATTGCATTCAGAGACCAGTTCACCAAATCCATAATTCTTTGTTGTCGAATGATCGGTAGGAGAAAGGCTTGATCTGGCAGCAAAGCAGGGAAAAAGGGAGGTTTGGGAGAGAGAGCAAAAAGCGTCCGACTCCTCTGAAGACCAAGCAGAGAAAAAAAAATTACACCAACATTGGAGAGAAAAAGGTTTATTGTGTTTTAGAWCTTTCAGTTCAGCTCATGAGCAAAGCTAAAGTGTTGTGTTTATATTTTTGTTCAGAACTTTAGCCCTCTACATAAAACAGTTTTCCCACAGCAGCAGTGAGCGGGTTGTAGTTTGTGTCAGCGGTGCCACTTTAACGCCAAACTTCTCTTTAACAGAAGAGATCTCAGTCTGGACTGAAGAGGAATGTAGAAATTTTGAACAAGGACTAAAGTCTTATGGGAAAGATTTTCATTTAATACAGGCCAACAAGGTAAGATGAGTTGATGCTGAGTTTGACTTTGTGCTGCCCGCCTCTCTTCAGGTGACAGTAATGACTTGTGTGTGTGCTGGGTTCAATCTTTCAGGTGAGAACTAGGTCTGTAGGAGAATGTGTGGCCTTTTATTACATGTGGAAGAAGTCTGAGCGTTATGATTTCTTTGCACAGCAAACCAGACTCGGAAAACGGAAATACAACCTTCATCCCGGTGTCACGTAAGTACGCTTCCTCAGATGAGACGATGAGCTGAAGTTTCAAATGTCTCAGTGGAGGGTTTTTATTTAAAACCAACGTCCAGAGTTTATTTGTCATTGAGTCCTCCTGGTTTGTGTTAGGTTTTTTTCAGCAGGTGTGTGTGTGTGTGTGTAAGGAGTGTGTGTTGCTGTGTTTCAGGGACTACATGGACAGATTGTTGGATGAGACGGAGAGCGCCACATCCAGCAGGGCAGCCTCTCCGCCTCCCACCACCTCCAGCAGCAGCACCAGCCACTCCGAGCGGGAGGACAGCAGCAGTCAGAACGGTCAGCACGCACCCAGACACGCCCGGTCCTGGTTCTGGAGGACCACCACCCTGCAGGTTCTAGAGGTTTCTCTGCTCCAACACACCTGGTTTAAAGAAATGGAGGATTACCAAGCTTCTGCAGAACCTGGAGAGGTGAATCAGTCACTGAACCAGGCGTTGGAGCAGAGAAACAGGTAAAACATGCAGGGTAAAGACCCTCCAGGACCGGACSCCCCGATCTAAAGCAACATGAAGCAATTAGTTGTAAAAACAAATTCAGTTAAAACGAGTTGATGAAACTGACAGAATTATGTTTTTTTGTTTGTTATTTCACATATTAAGAGTCATATTTAACCCCTCACTGCCATTGGTGATGTTTTAGAGCTCCAGTCATTAGTTCACATATAAAACAAAAATAACAGGAATTAATGTAGATATTTATTGACTATATAACAAACTAACTTACAGAGACAAACTGAGTAAATATATTTGGTGTGAAAAAGTGTCTTTTACATAGTTTTC